GAAGTGTCTCAAACAAGGTATCTTTGGCAAATTTTCTTCAGCAAGCGATAATACAACGCCTTTACATTTTGTATTTAAATTTATTGGCTTTTGAATTCGTACATTATTCAGAAAGGATTGAGTGTTAGGTCTCGGGCTCGTAAATGTTTAAGCACAACCCATAAATCCAAGAAAGGAGTTCGGTTTTTCAATCAATATTACTTATGCTATAAACGGTCAGTACTGCAATAAGTATAGTTACTTACCATGCTGCATAATGGTACCCTCAAATCTCGGGAAAGAATATATTTCGAAGGGTCTCGATATAACACGAAGGAAAGGTAGCACAAGCAGTGTGATCAGATGAAGAAGCAAAAACAGTGAAATATCTAAAGATCCGACGTAATCATTTTCATTTTCACCGCAAACGAAGAAGGTAAAGATACTTATTAGGTATTAACCTATCGATTTACGGAACAATCTCGACCTCTTGTTCCTTGAAGCTCGGTCTCAAGCACCACCAGTAACAACTCAATCGCTAGTATATTATAGGTGTAATGTCCGCAACAACCACCTCTAGCTTATAAGCCGTCAATAGCCAGTCATAACTAGCCGCGAGTGTTAGACATCTAACAGAAAGGGTGTGGGTTCAAGGCGAAATTTGTGAAAAAGCTGGGTTATGCCAGCCAACAAGCCAGACTTGGTCATACCATTGTCAATTGTCTTTGTCAGAATGCCATTATACCTTTACTATACTGTTCACTCCGCACAAATATACTTAAATCATCTAATATATAAGGATTGTTTTTTTCTTATGACTTAATACTAAGCAGGGTTGAACATGTTCACTTATTGATTTTAGTGAGCAAAACCGATCTCCAGGCAAACACTTTTAGTTCCTGTAATGCCTTAGCAAAAACGGCATGACAGCCGACAGAAAAGTGATGCTATGATATTGCCAACCTGCAATTTTGCTGCTACTTCGTGGGCGTATGCATTCAAATATATAAAAAGCATGTTCTGCTCATAGCGTTTATGCAGTTCTCCTCTCCCTATTTATCCTGTAGTTTCCGGACATGACTAGTGAGTTCTAGTTCACAGCCGCTGATTTTGCCCAAATAGTTTCTCAAATCTGTAAGCTTCATTTATCCGACACGATGTGTATGGAAAGGAAATTTGGGTATGCAAGGTGGTACGTTAGAAGTTAACGTTCAGTCGACACCAGATCTAAAAAACTGTGCTTCAAACCTCAGTGATGGTATGTGTGTGTCAAAGTGAACCTCTACTGGCAACGGGAAGTTATCAAAGTATCCTTAGCAGCCATCGAAAATCGCGTAAAACTGGGATTTGGTTAATGCATGGCTTTAAGAGTGGACTTCACCACTGACTAGCAGCGTTATATTAACAGAAA